AGCTTCGCCACTGTGTCCTGCTGGCATGACTAGATAAAAAGAACTCAGCTGCAGTTGGAGAAGAGAGGCAACTGGAAACGGGTTGTAGCCCACTTCTGGAACTGAAGAGAAACATAACCTTGAGCACACCACTTTACTCTTTATTTCAACTTCTTCATTTGCAAAAACAAAGCATTTAGAGCTTTTGGTATCTAAGTTCCACTTCTGCTGTAAGATTTTTGCCAATTCAATAAGTTGTTGTGTGTAAAAAATGATTCATTTAAAGTGCTTTGAAACAGTACATTGATTAAATCTTCTCCAACTCTTGTAATTTTATTAACCCTCCTCATTTATTCAGTAATTTTTCTTTTTCCCAATAATAGCTAGAGGAAGGACAAACTTGAGCCCAGGTCCTGAATGAATGAAGCCCAGTCTTCGGCAGAACCCACTGTTGTGATTCTACACTGGCAGCATTCCTAAATAGTCCTTTTTAAAAGACCACAGGATATGAAAGTCTAAGTCACTTACGTTTTTTGCACTGGGAATTGAGAAAAGGCTGTAAGTGCAGTACACTCTTGATCTTATAGTTGTCTACATTTCTCAAATTCAAAAGTAAGAAAGTTCAGGGACTAAATGTGGGAAAAGAAGGAAGCCCTGAGCTCTTCAATTCAGAATTCTTAAGAAGGGGTGAAGGAGACAGAGCACTGCAAAAGTATGGAGAATCCAGCTAGAGACAATTTTTGAGGTTTCTTTTTTAAGTTAACAAAGTATCTTTCTAAATTAGACTGTGAAAAACTTCAAAAGTCAATAAAATGAAACCATTTTCCCTGCCTAAAGCACTCGGTTGCTAGTGACTTAATAGATTCTTTTAACAATAGGATTCGAAAAGAGAACCAGCATTAGGTAAGTGGCGTTAAAGGTTATAGACTGACTCAGGTCCATTTCTAACCTTCTCTCAAAGGGTTAGAGCTCATGTGCCGTCACTGTGGATGCTGAGAGCACTTGTGGTTCTGCTGTCCTGTCCTACACAAACTGAGAGGATGAAAGAAACAGAAGAGCGTACTAACGGGTCAGAAGAGTTTATGGAGATGCTGCACAGAGTGGAGTTTGCACAACTTTCAGACAGAAGGGTAGGGTGCTGTGTCATACCAGAGAGACGACTTTCCATGTGAGACATTGGGCCAGGAAGATGAACTGATTCAAACAAAGCACTTGCTTCAAAAAATCAGAGCCAAGCCAAGGGAAGCGACTGTTCTATCCTTCTGCCTTCTATTTTCCTGTCCCCCACCTAATGACATGTCTCCTTGTTCTTTCCTCCAAAGTGCATGTTTAGAATTGACAGAGTCACCATGATATAATCGTGGTGATACGTGGCACTGAAATATCATCTCTATTTGACTCTGAAACTGAGCACCAAATTAAGCAGTTAAACTGAGTAACTCGGCACAAAGTGAAAACATTCAAGGGCCGTGGGTGATACAGCTGTGTTCAATCAACTATATTAAACAGATTTTAACTTTTTAATTGTTAAACCTAATAATTCTTCTCCTAAATTCCGGTGCCTTTTCTTTTTCTTTTTATGCATATCATAAAATATATAAGATTTACATCATTATTAAGTGGAACATCATCAAAGGAGTTTTAATTTAGATTTGCTGACTTTTATATGATGAGCTTCTCCAGCTTAACATTGCACTAATTATTTTTTAATGGACTTTATTCTCAGAGCAGTTTAAGGTTTGCAGCAAAATTGAGCAGAAAGTACAGAGATTTCTCATATACCCTCTGCCCCCACACATGCAGAGCCTCCCCCATTATAAACATCCCTCACCAGAGCGGTGCATTTGTTAGAACTGATGAACCTACACTGACATATTATTATCATCCAAATAATCATTTTTAATATAAA